CGCCGACGTAGGTCGACGCGGCCTCGTAGTCGAGGACGACCGCGGTCGCGAGCGACGGCGCGGCCGCGTCCGGCAGGCTCAGGATGCCGTGGGGGTCGCTCAGCGCGTAGGTTAAAGCGTCGCCGTCCTCGTCGGCGGCGCTCAGGTCGCAGGACAGCGCCGTGCCCGGGGCCGCGTTCTCCTCGACGGAGCACTCGACCTGCGTCGAGTCGGCTGAAAACTCGGGCGCGCCGTTGACGTTTAAAATCGTCACGTAGAGCGTGGCGACGTCGCTCAGGGGCGGCTCGCCGTCGTCCGTGACCGTGACGCAGATCTCGTAGGACGCCGTCTCGAGCGCGTTGAACGCCGTCGTCTTCGTGTAGACCTGGCCGGAGCAGGCCTCGATGCCGAAGTAGCCGAGGTCGTTGTCGCCGCAGCCGCCCTCGATGGAGAAGATGGACGCCTGCACGGGGTCCGGCTCCGTGACGTTCGGTAAAAGAGGCCGGCCGACCTCGGAGCTCAGCGCGACGGTCTCCTCGAAGGCCGCGGCGAAGTCGCCGTCGAAGTGCGGCGCGTCGTTGACGTCGATGACGTCGACGCGGAAGGTGCAGTAGCCCGCGCCCGGGGCGAAGACGCCCGTCGCCGCCGTCGTCGCCTTGATGGTCGTGTAGTAGCTGTCGCAGTGGAGCGCGTCGACCTCGACGGCCGACGACGCCGCGCCGTCGGACGACACGCTCAGCACGCCGTCGTAGGCGGAGCAATCCCCCAGACTCGACAGCGCGCCGGAGCTCGCCAGCGCGACCTCCGACGGCACGAGGGCCGCGCCGAACAACGCGACGTCGTCGACGTGGCCCGCGAAGGAGAACGCGCCGCTCAGGCCCACGGACAGCGACACCACCGACAGCGACGCCCCGACGGACGACCGCGTCTGCGCGACGAAGGTGCCGTCGACGGCGATGGACACGCCCTCCTCCGACACGACGACGCAGAGGTGGGTCCAGGACCCGCCGTCGAGCGGCGGCGCCTCGACGGACGCGGACACGGCGGCCGACGTGATGTCGAAGACCGCGTCGCACGAGAACGATAGAACGCCGCCGTGGACCTCCAGGGCGCAGGTGACGGCGCCCGAGCTGCCCGAGAGCTCGAGGGACGCGAGGCCGTGGCTCCCACTGCTCAGATCCTCCGCCGGCCGCAGCCAAAAGGCCGCGGTCGCGCCGTCGGACGACGCCGCGGCGCCCGCGGCGTCGTGGTAGTAATACCCGGCCCCGTCCAAGCCCAGCGACGCGTCGCCGTGCTTGCGCTGGATCTGCGTCCCGACGGCGTCGCCGGATAACTTCGGCTCGTAACTGTGCGCCGCCTCGAAGTCCTCGTAGGCCGCGGCGAAGCGCGAAAAGTCCGCGGAGCCGCCCCGCGCGTGCGCCGCGAAGGTCGCGCTCAGCGAACCGTCGCCCGCGTGGGTCGCCGTCGCCGTCGCGACGACGTCGCCGGACGTCTTCTCGTCGACCTCGACGCTCGACGGGCAGGCCACGGCGACGAGCGGCGCGCGGTCGCCGTCGCCGCAGTACTCCGTGTACCTGTGTGGAAATTAAATCTTCAACCCGACTTCAATGTGCGCGTATTCGAATGTTTCGACGCACGCTCTTCTGCTGTGCTTCGAGAACTCGACGAGGGCAATCGATCCGTCCAAAAATCAGCCGAATCGACTTCGATTTGACCGAGCTAGAGAGTTCTGAAGTCTTTGTTTCGACGCCGTCGCAGTACAACCCGTCGCCGTCGGCGAAGCACTCGACGACGCCCGTCCGCGCGTAGATGGACCCCCAGAGCGGCGTCGTCGCGAAGCCCACGGGGGCGGGCATGGGGTGGCCCGCGCCCGCGGGGCAGTAGGCCGCCTGCGGCGGGTCGACGTACTGGCCGCACAGCGCGGCCGTCGGCGACGTCGACCCCGCGGCGCAGAAGTAGCCCGCGTCGCAGGCGCCCGAGCACGCGGCGTCGCTCAGGCCCGGCTCGATGCCGTAGGTCCCCGCGGGGCAGGGCACGTTCTCGCCGCCGGCGCAGTAGGAGCCCACGGTGCACGTCGCGACCTGGGCAGGACAAGAGTGCGAAATTCCCAACTTCAAAGGCTCATCTCTCGGCCGTTTTCCACTCGTTCGGCTGATTTTTGGACGAGCGATCATCTCTCGGAGCGCTCTCGACGCGTGGATGCTGTTTCCGGAACGCGCGCGTGCGGAACACTCACGTTGAAGAGACGTTGAATCACCCTTGTCCTGCCCTGGTCGCGACGGCTTGTCGGTAGCGGTCGTCGCCCGACGCGGGCGTCGTGTACTCGCCGTCGAGCGCCGCCAGGGACTCGCTCCCCGTCGACTCGGGGCAGTAGCTCGCCGCGCCGTCGCCGCAGGCCTCGTAGCCGCGTAAGAAGGCGTGGAAGCTCGACCCGTCGAAGTCGAAGACGCCGAGCGCGTCGCCCTTCGCGGCGCCGTAGAAGACGTCGTGTTCCGCGTCCGCGCAGACGCCGTAGCCCGCGACGGGCGCGGCGAACGTCGCCGTCGCGCCGGACGCGAGGTCGACGACCGCTAAAACGCCGCCGTCCCAGGCCCCGTCGTACGCGTACTCCGCGGCGTAGAGCGTCCCGGAGGCGACGGCCAAGTGCTCGAACCTGCCGGCGAGCACGGTCGACGCCGCGCCGCCGTCGAGGTCGTGGGTCAGGACGGAGCCGGCGGCGGCGTAGTAGAGCGTCGACCCGGCGACGGCCAGGCCCGTGACGGGGTTCCCGGCGCCCGCGTTGAACACCTCGGAGAGCGCGCCGAGCCCGCCCGCGGAGATTGTCCCCGCGCGGACGATGGGCGCGTGGAAGTCGGAGCTGCCGACGTAGAGCGTCGCGCCGTCGTCGGAGATGGCCACGCCGAGGGGCGCGTCCAGTTCGACCTGCAGCTCGACGGCGCCCGTGGACGCGTCGACGCGGTAGACCTGGGCAGGAAAAGGGTGCGAAATTCTCAATTTCAAAGGCTCCTTTCTCGGCCGATTTTCACTCGTTTCGGCTGATTTTTGGACGAGCGATCATCTCTTGGAGCGCTCTCGAAGCGTGGATGTTTTTTCTAGAACGCGCGCGCGCGAAACACTCACATTGAAGCGACGTTGAATCACCCTTTTCCTGCCCCGCAGTAGACGCCGCTCGCGCCGGACGCGACGGCCGCGTAGACGTAGCCATGGACGGCGTCGTAGGCGATGCCCCGAAGGTACTCGGCCGGGCCGTTTCGCCACTCCTGCTCCGCGTCGGAGCGGCCGCAGTAGGCGTTGAACGCGGCCTTGCGCGAGGCCTCGCACGACGTCCCGGCGTTGTTCGGGTCGACGAACCACACCGCGGGCGTCGTCGTCTCGCTCAGGACGCTGCCGCAGCCGCTGGGCAGGCGCACGTAGCACGCCTCGGCGCCGTCGGACGGATCGGCGACCTGGGCGACGAATTCGACGGTGGACGCGTCGTGGACCGAGGCCTTGTAGAGCGCCCCGCCGCCGTAGTCGGAGAAGTACAGCGTCCCGTCGTGTACGGCGCAGCCCTCGAGGCCGTAGGCTCGCTGCGCCGTCGGCGCGGCGATGGCCGTGCCCGCGGGGCAGCGGTAGCCCGCGGGGCAGGGGCCGCTGCAGTCGCTCGTCAGCGCGCCGGACGCGCCGTAGCGGCCCGCGGCGCACGCGCCGCCGCACGCCGCGGAGTGGTGGCCGCTGGCGTCGCCGTAGGCGCCCGCGGGGCAGGAGACGCAGGACGACGCGCCCGCGAGGCTGTAGGTGCCCGGCGAGCAGGACGCGCACGCGTGCGCGCCCGCGGCGGAGTAGGTCCCCGCGGGGCAGGGGTTCGCGTAGGCGGCGCCCGCGGTGACGCCGACGCCGTCGGCGTCCGTCGACGACGCCGACGCGTAGGAGCCCGCGGGCACCTCCGCGCAGTTCGTCGCGCCGCCGGCGCTGTAGAACCCGGACGGGCACGCGGCCTGGAAGCAGGCGCCGGACGTGACGCCGTAGCCGTCGGCGTCGCTCGCCAAATCCGTCGGGAAGTAGCCGGGCGCGGCCGCGTGGCACGTCGACAGGCCCGCCTCGTCGGCGTAGCGCCCCTCGGGGCAGTCGTCGCACTCGAGGGAGCCGCTCGACGCCGCGAAGGTGCACTCCGGGCAGGCGACGCAGTCGAATTCCACGCGGTACTGCCCGCCGGGGCAGACGACGCACTCCGCGGCCGCGGCGCCCTCGGCGCACGACGCGCAGCCCGTGGACCCCGCGCCCGCGTACTCGCCGGCCGGGCAGGCCGCGCACTGCGTGTTCGCGGAGCCGAAGGCGAAGAAGTCCTCGGGGCACGTCGCGCAGTCGTCGAGCGCGTCGTGGTAGGCCGTCGCCGTGCCCGCGTCCGCGAGGTACTTGCCCCCGGGGCAGCCGTCGCACGCCCCGGCGCCGGTCGACGCCTGGTAGGTGCCCGCGCCGCAGACGGTGCACGACGTCGACCCCGCGCTGTTCATGGCCCGGCCCGCCTCGCAGGCCGCGCAGGACGCGCCGCCGGACGACGGCTGGTACGTGCCCGCGGGGCAGCTGGCGCAGTCGGACGACGAGTCGTGGTAGAGGCGGTTCGTGCCCGCGTCCGAGAGGTAGGTCCCCGCGGCGCACGCGTCGCAGGCCGTCGCCGCGGCGGCCGAGTACGAGCCCGCGGGGCAGACGAGGCAATCGGACGCCTCGTCGACGTAGGCCGCGTTGCCGTAGTTCGAGGGGAGGTACGTGCCCGCGGGGCAGGACGCGCAGGCCGTCGCGCCGCTGCCGGTGACGTAGGTCCCCGCGGCGCAGATCGCGCAGTCGTCGAGCGCGTCGTGGTTCGTGCTGTAGGCGCCGAAGTCGTCGTTGTACGTGCCCGCGGGGCAGGACGCGCAGCTCGTCGAGCCCGCGGTGTTTTGATAAGAGCCACCGGCGCAGACGGCGCAGTCGCCGCTGGAGTCGTGGTCCGCCGCGCTCGCGGAGTCCGCGAGGTACTTGCCCGCGGCGCAATTGGAGCAAGAGGACGCGCCCGTCGACCCCTGGTACTGGCCCCCGGGGCAGACGGCGCACGAGGAAGCACCGGATGCCGAGGCGTAGGTGCCCGCGGCGCAGGACGTGCAGGACGTCGCGCCGGCCGCCGAGTAGGTGCCCGCGGGGCAAGAAGTGCAGGACGAGTCGCCGCCGCCGGACGCGTAGGTCCCCGCGGGGCACGACGCGCACGTCGTCGCGCCCGCGGCCGAGTAGGACCCCTCCCAGCAGTCGGCGCAGGTCGTCTGGCCCGCGCTCGGCTGGTACTTTCCCGCGACGCAGGACGTGCAGGACGTGCGCCCCGTGTAGGGGTTCGCCGTGCCCGCGGCGCACGCGGTGCAGCCGTAGCAGCTGTCGCAGCTCGCGTCGCACGAGTCGTCGCAGCCCCACCAGCAGCCGTCGTCGCAGCCGTCGTCGCAGTAGAGGCCGCTGTAGGAGCCGGTGCCGCTGTAGTAGCCCGCGGGGCAACCCGTCGAATCCTCGTTGATGCCGCAGAGGCGCCGCCGCTCGTCCTCGGCGAACTTGGCCGAGACAAGCGAGGCCGCGGCCGCGACGCGCCCCGACCGGTCGAGCGTCACGGAGGCGCCGAGCGCGCTCGTCCTGGCGCCCGGCGGCGCGGCGGCGGCCGCCGCGGCCGCGAGGGCCCGCGCGCCCGCGGCGCCGACATTCTCGGCGGCGCAGGCGTCGCTCGCGAATTCAACGTGGACGGCGACGTCGCCGAGCGCGCCGGCCGCGTCGACGGCGAGCGAGAGGCTCGGCGCCGCCGCGGCGCAGGCCTCGAGCGCCGCGAGGGCGGCCTTGAGGCCGTCCGACGGCTCCGCGTCCTCGAGGCGCGCGAGGAGCGCCGCCGTTGAGGCGGCGAAGCGGCCGCCGGGCGCCGCGTCGAGGCGCGCCGCGCCCGCGTCGAGCCAGAGCGTCGACGCCGTCCCGCCGCCCTGCTCGACGGCCGCCGCGGCGACGAGGAGCGCGCGCCGCTGGTCCCGCGGCGCGCCGAAGGCCCGGGTCGCCGCCGCGGCCGCGCCGGCGGCGACGGCGACGGCCGGCGCGGACTCCGCGGACGCGAAGCGGAGCGCCGCGTGGTCCACGCCCTCCGCCCGCAGCACCGCGGCGACGGCGGCCCAGCCGCGGTCCTCGCAGTAGCCGGCCCACTCCTCGGGCGCCTCCTCGAGCTCGAGCGCGACGGCCGCGGCCGCGCCGAAGAGGGGCGACTCCACCAAGACGTTGACGTCGACGTCCGCCGGGATCGCCGCGGCCGCGAGGTCCTTCGCGGCCGCCGACGCCAGGCCCCCCGGCAGGGCGCGCACGAGCGCCGGCGTCGAGTCCGCGACGTCCTCGCAGCCGCCGTCCATGAGCGACCGGAAGCCCACGGTGACGTGCACCGACCTGGGCAAGAACATGGTGATTCAACGTCGCTTCGACGTGAGTGTTTCGCGCGCGCGCGTTCCAGCAAAAGCATCCACGCTTCGAGACCGCTCCGAGCGATGATCGCTCGTCCAAAAATCAGCCGAAACGAGTGGAAAACGGCCGAGATAGGAGCCCTTGAAGTTGGGAAGTTCGCGCCCTTTTCCGGCCCCGGCACCGACGGCGCGTCGTCGTACGCGCGCGCGCTGTGGAGCGACCGCCGCGGCAGCAGGAGCGAGTCGCCGGGCCCGAGCGTGAGCGTGGAGCACGATTCGAGGAACGGCGCGACCTCGTCGTCGCCGTAGGTCGCGCAGGTGCCGAGCTTCGGCGACTCGTCGGCGGCGGACGCGCAGACGAACCACGTCTTGCGGCCGAGCACCTGGTGCACGAGCACGTCGGCCGTGTCCGTGTGGTTCGCCAGCGCCGACGCGCCGGGCGCCGACGCGTAGACGTGGACCGTGTCGCCCGCGTCGTAGTCCGCGACCGCGCCGGGCAGCCCGAGCGTTTTGAGCGCGTTCGACGACGCGCCGGCGGCGAACTTCTCGAGGCGCGCGACGAAGGACACGCGCGCGTCGCCCGCGAGCGCGGCGCCGGGGTCGAGGTTCGCCGGCAGCGGGGCGCCGCCGTGCCCCTTGACATCGACGGCGTCGCCGCGCAGGAACGCCACGACGGCGTCGAGCGCCGGGGCTGCCGCGCGCGCGCGGGCCGGCAGGAACTTTGGCGCGTCGAGGTCCGCGAAGACGGACGCGATGTGGGTCGCGTTCCGGAACTCCGCGGGGAAGGAGGCGGCGGCGACCGCCACCAATCCGAGAAGCGCGAGCATCGCGCACAGAACGGCAGATCAAGAATGGCTGGCCGTCGACGGAAACGAAAGGCTGAAACGCTCGGCTATCCGGTATGGTCAATGTAGCTGCTCGAAGCCGACATTGCCCCTCTAGCTTGTGGCAGCTCGGCGGTCGACGAGTTCGAATAGACTTCGCACTGCCGGCGCACGCGCGACAGCGCCGCGCCGAGCAGCAGCAACAGCCATGCTCCCCGGCCCGCAGATCCCCCAGGCGGGCACGGTGTCGTTCCCGGCCCGCGGCCATCACCACTCTACTAAGGAGCAGTACCAGATGCAGCGCGAGGTCGCGAGCGCCAACGAGCGCATCGCGTCGGCCGAGGCCTTCCTCCAGCCCCACATCCGCGCGGAGTACGTCTGCGGCTGGCACGAGCGCATGCGGCGGAAGGTCGAGGAGAACGCCGCGGCGTCCGAGGCCGCGGGAAAGAAGGCCGCGCACAAGCGCCTCGTCACGCTCAAGCGCGTGAAGCTGGAAGCGTTGTACGCCGAGGACGTGCGCGGCTGGACGTCGGAGCTCGAACCGGCGCGCGAGCGCGACGCCGCGACGAAGAAACGGGTCGAGCGCGCGGTCCAGGCCGCGAAGGAGCGCGACGACCGGCACGCGGAAGCGGTCGAGGCCGCGCGCGTCCACGTGGAGAACCACCGCCGCGCGAATATGCCCGAGTTCCGCGAGGCCGCGCAGCTCGCCGAGGCCGCGGCGCTCCAGGAGGAAAGAGTCAAAACCGCCGAGGGGACGCGCGAGGCGCGGGCCGCGGCGGCCTCCGCGGAAAAGCGCGCGCCGGACGGCCGCGCGTTCGAGCCCGAGGAGGACGTCCAGCCGTTCCTCGACGTCGCCGTGGGCTTCGCCGACGACGGCGCGCGGACGCTGAGCTCCGCGGCGAAGCGCCGCGCGTTCGTCGGTTCGCTCAAGGGCGTCCTCGAGGGCCTGTGCGCCGCGACCGTCGAGGCGCGCGGCCTCGACGTCAAGGTCGTCGGCAAGGCGCCCCAGCTCGTCGCGTCCGTGCGCGTCTCCGCGCCGTCCCGCGACGGCCTCGCGGGCGCCGTCGACGCGTGGCGCGCCGCGGCGGAGGCGAAGGCGCTCCAGTTGCCGGAACGTGCCGTGCGCGTGGGTCGACGCGCCGAAGCTGCCCGCCATGCTCGCGACGCCGCGCGACGCCGGCGAGGCCGCGAGCCGCTACCGCGACTCGCTCGCCTCGGCCGTCGCCGACAAGGCCGCGCGGCGGGAGACCGAGGCCGTCGCCGCCGCGGACGAGGACGCGTCCCTGGCGCGAATCGCGGACGCCGTGGCCGCGAAGCGCGAGGCGGAGCAGCTCGCGGCCGTCGCCGCGGCGCGGGACCGCTTCGAGGCCCTCGTGCGCGACGCCGAGTGGGCCAAGAGCCGCAAGGCCGCGGACGCGGCCGCCGAGGCCGCCCTCGACGCCGAGGCGCTCGAGGCGCTCAAGCTCGACGACGCGCGGGACGACGACGCGCGAACCGCCCGCGACGCGGCGGAGAAGGCCGCCGCGGCGCTCCACAAGGGCGCGCTGCGGCGCCAGGCCGCGCGCGAGCGCGCGGACCGGCTCGAGGAATTTACCGCGGACGTCGCCGAGGAGCCGTCGTTCGCGGGTCTGGCCTGGGCGGACCACGCGTCGGCCGCGGCCCGCGAGGCCTTCCTCTCGCGGCGGCTGCGGGACGACGTCCGGGCGGGCTGGGACCGCGACCTCGAGCGCGGGGAGGAGACCGCGGCCGAGGACCGGAAGCGGCGCGAGGCGGAGCAGGAGGTCCGCGACCGCCTCTGGGCGCGGCACCGGGCCCGCGAGGCCCACGCGCGCGACGAGGCCCGGCGGGCGTCGGCGGCCGTCGCGTCGGAGAACCTCGAGCTCCTCGCGGAGAAACGCGGCCGCGCGGCGGACGCGCGCGACGCCGCCGTCCGCGCGGACCTCCGCGCGCTCGAGGACCGCGACGCGCGGCTCCGCGCCCTCGCGCCGGACGTGCCGCCGAACCTCGCCCACAAGCTCCCGCCGTCCATGCGGCCCGCGACCGCGGACGCGAAACAGCTCCGCGACGCGCGGCTCTACGCGCACAACGCCGTCGCCGCGGGCCGGCCCCGGACCGCGTCCGCCGTCCACGCGCGCAACTCGTCCCTCCGCGCGGGGCTCATCGGCTAAGTTTACGCGTCCCACCACGCGTGGACGTCGACGGGATTCCGCGAGACCCAACCCGTGTGGACCTCGTCGTCGTCCTCCGGGAGGTGGTGCCGGCCGCGCAGGAACGCCGAGCAGTCGCCCGGCTCGTCGTCCTGCGTGTCCGGCTCGTTTTCTGGCGTGTCCGGCTCGTCCTCGGACGCGCGGCGGTCGGCCTCCGGCGGCGCGCGGCGGGTTTCGTCGGCGGAGCACTCCTCCTCGTCCGGCGGCGTGCAAACGTCGTCCGGCGGCGTGGAGTACTTGTCCGGTGGTGAATACGGCGGCGGCGCGCGGGCGTCGTCCTCCAGCGGCGCGCGGTCGTCGGCGGCCGGCGGCGCGCGCGCGTCCGGCGGCGAGTACGCCGCGCGCGGCGTGACCGTCGGCACGTCGGGCGCAGGCATCGCGGTGGCGGCATCACCGATAACGGTCTTGCGCGGCGCGGCGCGCGCGGCGCATGGCGTCACGGCCGCATGTACTTTCGGCTTTCGGCTGTCGTTTTTTGAGAGGCGACGCGGCTGGTACACCTTTTTGGGCGCCGTCGATTGATGCGTCGAGTGCAGCAGCGACTGAAGGCTATCTAGCGCCACTGGCCGGCCCTTCGGATTGCGCTTGCGCCGCTTGGACGAGGTCTCGTCGACGATCATCGTCTCAACCGTGAGCTTCAAGGCGGCGGCACCGTTTTGACGAGATCTTCAAGCAGGAGAACGAGCGCGAGTGATGCGCTCGACCATTTGAGTTTAAGTAGGCCACGACCGCGCCTGAGCCGCACAAACACGCCCACAACACAACCGAAACACCACATGCGCTAGAACCATGTCCGCGCGCGACCTCCTCGCCACGGAGGCGCGCCTCGCGGTCGCCCTGCGCCAGGCACCGACAAACCAGGAGGCCGCGGCGGCGCTGTCCACCGTGAGCCAGTACGCGGCCCTCGTCAACC